GAAGGGGGAAGCGTTAATAAATATCAAACCAAATCAATAAACAAGCAAATCATTCCAATTTATCTGTAATAATCAAATAAATACAACGTTTTTCTCTCCCAAGGTCCCGCAGTTGCTGTGCCTCTAAAACCCGCTGTGTTCGGTTTGTAGGTCTGCCAGACCCGCTCAGCCAAAACCATCTCCAAGGTGGCCTACCACAGCGGGGTGGTGATCGTGACCTGCCCGCGCTGCCGCAGCCACCACGTCATCGCCGATAACCTGGGCTGGTTCTCGGATCTGGAGGGGAAGAGGTCAGTGTGCCGGCAGCGCCCGGGAGGGGGAGGAAGGGGCTGCCCCGGCCTCACTCCATCCTCAGCTTTTGATGCTTTTAAAACGTGGTTCAGAGAAAACTTTTCCATTTCATCCAGTTTCTCAAAGCATGCAAACTGAGCTTTGTAACCTCCTGTAATTAGATGGTTATTGCCAAAGATCCAAATGAGGAAAGCTGTGTAAAGCTGCAGCAGGAGCTTTGTGACACAGGCGCCCGTGTTGGTGCCAGCAGGTCAACGACTGTGTGTGGGATTCTCCTCAGCCTTCACCAAATCACCATGAGGGTTCCCTGGCTAAGTGTTTCTAACGTGTAGACCAGTTTCAGTGGTTTCTAACTCCCTGAGATACCCTTTAAAATTTCTGTTTAGCCATAATTGCTAAATTATTGATTGTAACGGATGAAAGTGGTCCTAGAAGGCTGGGTGGTTTTTGTGAAGCAGTGCTGTGTTGGTGCTGGTGGGTGATCCACTGCTTGTTGACCCTGAGAGCAGAGGGGGAGAGCACAAGCCTGGGCTGGGCTCAGAGGTCCAGCCACTGCTCTGGTGTCACTGTTGGTTTTCAAATCCCTGTTAAGGAACATCGAGGAAATCCTGGCAGCCAAAGGGGAGAAGGTGAGACGTGTGGCTGGTGAGGAAGCCTTGGAACTGCTTCTGGAAAGCTCAGCAGACACTGGCTCTCAAGGTCAGCCCGCAGAGGGAGAAGGTGGGGAAGCCCTCCCAGAGACTGGCAGCAAGGGACAGACATGACACGTGGGATTTGTGTCAAGAGAGACTTTTAACCTTTATTCCCTGATTCCAGCAGTCTGTGCTTCAAATAAACTCGGGCATTGGTCTTTCTCTGCTGGGTGTCTTTGACTTGGGTGGTTTTGCCTTTGACCAAGCTGATGGATTTGAGGTGGCTTGTTGGATGTTTCCCCTGGTACTTGTTTTGCTGACTTGTAGACAAGCCTCAGAGCTCCAGCCCTGTCAGGAGCCCTGCTTTGTTCCCTGCTGAGAAGGGAGCCTGTTGCTTTCTGTCCAGGGGCTTTGTGTGGCCCAGGGAGTGCAGCTGTAGGTGGAGGTTTTTGTGATGTCTCCTGGCCACAGCTGGTCCAGAGCTGCTGAAGGTGCTGAGCAGGATGGGCCCTGACCCTGCTGAGTTTGCAGAGCCAAGGGAGGGGCAGGTCACCAGCTCCTGCTGCAGGCCCAGGCTGCTTTTTTTCTTTCCCTTGCCATCTTCCAGAGTTCTGCTTCTGTGCCTGTCATGTCAGGGCTGAAACTCATCCATGTTTGTGGGTTATGACATGAGGCATGTTGGGGAGGATCCTGCCAGTGGGGTTGTGCAGCTGCTGTGTTGGTGAGGGGGAGGATGGGTGTGAAGGCAAAATTAATGTCTGGGAAATGTGTTTCTGTGCCCATCGTGTCAGGGCTGAAACTCACCCATGTTTGTGGGTTATTGACATGAGGCACGTTGGGGAGGATCCTGCCAGGGGGGTCATGCAGCTGCTGTGTTGGTGAGGGGGAGGATGGGTGTGAAGGCAAAATTAATGTCTGGGAAATGTGTTGGAGAGAAGTAGAGCACCTAGAAAGTTGCCTTCGAGTGATTTGACAGAAATTGAGATGCTTTTTCATGCTGCTGCAGCACAGCAAGATCAGTTAGGAGAAGAAATAACAATTTCCATGAAAAATGTAGGTGTCTATCAGCATCTAATGCTTGGTTGGTAGTGAACTGGGCAGTGAGCTGAGCTTTGTTGGGGCTTTACCTCCTCTGCCTGCATGGAAAGTTATCTTCTCCCAGAGTCTACAAGCCTGAAGCACAGTGAAGCATCTGCTTTGCCATGGTTTTAAACTAGCAATGAAAGAGTAATTCAGGAGAAAAGAGACCTCTGGAGGTTTTCAGTCCAACCTCATTGTTGAGAAGGATGCTCAAGGTCTCATCTTGAGTATCTCTGAGGGTGGAGATGCCACAACCTCTTCAGAGCCTTGGTCTGGTATGTGACCAGTCCCATAGTGGAGAAAACCTACTACAATTAACAAGGATTAATGAGGTTCTTTAGCTCCTCTGAAGCATTGATGAGCATTTCATACATGTTGTGTTAGAAGCATGGATCAGAGAGACAGAGAAGTGTCAGGGTCTCCTGTTGGTCCATGAACCCAGGGTGGTGACACTGCCAAGGGGCAGGAGCTCCATCTGCACGTTCCTGGTGACACAGTGTGCCCTGAGGCAGGGGGGTGCTGCAGGCATCTGTGTAGGCACTAAAAACCCAGGAGTCTGGCACCTTGGAACACTGCTGTGTGCTCACCCTGTTGTGAGGCATCAGCACTCTGCAGGAAAAAGTGCTTCTTTTATTACCTTTTACTTGAAAATCAGCATTTTGCTCCCATTGCACTCATGCCTTGGATGGGGCAGCTGTTGCAGGAGCTGTGTTGCCTCAGAAACAGTTCATTTACAACCTGACTGGTTTTTTTGGCCTGTTTTCCTTTCTGACCTGTTGCTGTGCACCAGGGTGGTGCTTGGGTTTGCTGTAGGACAGTAAAACCTGCTCTGGTTGAAGATATTCCTGCTCACTGCAAGGGGAGGGGGTTGGACTAGATAACCTTGAAAGGTCCCTTCCCACCCAAAACATTCTGGGATAACATGAAATACTGTAGCCAGGACTGTTTGTGCTGGCTGTTGGCAGATTTTAGTGTCTCCTCAGCCCAGTGTGCTCTGGCAGTTGGTGCTCTGCAGGCAGGATAGTGCCCAGCTCTGCAGCACCCAGCTCTGAGCGTGGAGGGAGGCTTTGGGCTGCTGCTCTGGAGCCTCAGAGCAGGTCCAGCATCAAGGACAGGAGCTGCCCGTGCTGGGTTGATGGTTGGACTTGATGATCTTGAAGGTCTCTTCCAAGCAGAAGGACTCCAGGGCTCTGAGAAGGGGATGCAGCAGGTGACAGGGAGCCTGAGACACCCAGGTGGCATCTCTAGACCCTGCCACACGTGGCTGTGCTGTGGAGCTGCACTGAGGAGCCACCTGGGAGCCCCACCAGGGGATGTGCTGGCCTGGCTGAGGTGGCAGCTGGAGGACAGGTATGTTGCTTTATCTGGAGCAGCAGTGCAGGCAGTGAGGGGCTCTGGGGGCTGGGGAATCAATCACTGCCTATTTGTACTGCCTGCAGAGGGTCTAATGGGGGTTCTGGGCTTCCAGGTCCTGCTGTAGTGTAGGCAGAGAGGCCTGGCAGGGGTAAAACCCTGTGTATGTGGGGCTACCTGTGTTCCTGGGCTGGGCTGTTCAGTCCAGAGCTGGCCCTGCCTATGGCAAAGCCCTGCAGGGGTTAATTTAGCCCATGGCTGCATCCAGGGCTCCCAGGGAATTGCTGTGGAGCCTGCCCAAGGCTGGCCAGCTCCAGCCTGGCAGTCAGTGCCTGGGTGCTGTGGGCCAGCAGCTCCCTTCCTGCAGGCTGGGAGTCCTTCCCTGCAGCTGGAGATGGATGGTGGCTGGAGAGGCTCTGGGGAGGGCTGAGGGGAGTGTGGAGGCTCTGCCTTGACCTCACCTGGCAGATGAGTGCTACAAATCAAAAATCCCTGGAGGTCTGCCACTGCTGCCTCCTGCTCACAGGGGCTCTGAACAAGGCAACTCTGCCTGCTGGGCATGTGTGCCCCTGCCCAGCTGCTACAGACAGAGTGAGGCCTGAGACCCCATCACTCACCCATGGGGATTTCTCCTCTTGCTGGGACTCCCAGCCACTATCCTCTGTGTCCCTGGGGCCGTGGTGCTGTCCCCAGGTCACACACAGAGACCTGGAGTGTCCAGGCACTCAGAGATATGGGAAGGAGCTGATGGCTTTTTGATCAGCACCAGCAGTGACTTGGCTTTATCCTCACAGGGCTCAGGACCCCAAAATCTGCTGCCCTCAGGCCCCATTTCTAGCCAAGTCTTAATGGCCTGCTCACTCCTGCTGCCATGCAATGAGCCATGCTGCTGCCTGCTGCTCTGCTTCTTCCCCAAGGCCTGATGCCAGGGCTTTGTGCAGCACTTGCCCTTTCCCTCTGAGAGCTGCTGCCTGGGAAACCAGACACAGCTTCTGGGCTAGGCCATTGAGCCAGGCTGAGCTGGAGCCCCCAGGCAGGCCCTGAAAGGCAAGGCAGGGCCACAGGGCTCCCTTGGGCCTTTCCTCAGGGCTGACAGGCTGCCCTGTCCTCCTGGGAACCTCTGGGCTTGGGCTGGGACTGCTCAGGGCTTTGTGTCTCCTTCCTTGATGCCCTGCCATGGTGGCTGCTGCCAAGAGACCCACGTGCTCTTAACATAAAGGGGATGTGGGGTGCACCCCCCCTTTTCTTAACACTTCCACGTGGTGATGAGTGCCACAGGAGCCCACCCCCCAGCCCTGACCCCCCCTCCACAGGGCCAGGCTTGGTTCTGCTCTCAGCAAAGCCCACAGGCTGGCCACGAAATCATGGAAATGAATTGTTGCCACTGAAGCTTAGACACAAATATTTATTAAGCACAACCCCCCACCCCCCCTTCCCCTGGAGCTGTATCCACTTCTAATATATTAATTCATTTGGCAGTTTATCTTTTAGAAAAAAAAGTACCTGTGGGTTGGAAATTCCCCATTAAAATGACATTAGCAAATGCACATGTAAAAAATAAATAAGCTCGTACATTCAAGTATATGGCAAATAATTAACACCTCTGAAAGCTGAAGGGTCAGGTTCCAGCTCACCACCTGCTTGAGAGCTGCACAGAGCCCCCCAGCTGGTCAGGTCCTCTTCCCCTTCAGAGCTCTCCTCCTCTTCACAGAGGTAAGCTGGGTGGGTGGGCAGGTGGCTGGGCCGGTTCTCCTGCCCCTTCCCCAGAGCTCTGACCAGTGCTGTCCCTGCAGCAGTGGCACTGGGGCAGGTAGGATGCAGCCACCCCCCTCCCCGTGGTCAGCCCGGGCAGGTGGACTGCCCCACGAGCAGCATCACTGCTCTGGAAGTCTTCCTGCTGGTTGGAAATGTCTCCATCAAATGCATTTCACAGAGAAAGTGCCGAGTTGTTCTCTCCAGGAACAGATCTGCTTGGGCAGAACTCGTGGCTGGAGTCTCTCAAGTCTGTGATGCTGATCTGGTCAAGCAGAGGAAAAGCCCTCCACCTCCTGAAGGTGGATTCCTGCTCCCCTCCTCTCTGGACGTGCTTCTCCAGCTCTTCCACCAGGGGAAGGAGTGAAGGGGAACAGACTTGTGCTTGTGTGGGGGGTGGGACTGGCTCCCAGCCAGCACCCTGCTCTGGAGCTCTCCCAGGCTCCATGTATTGGAGACAGACTGGCCAAAACCCAGTGGCCTGGCAGGGGCAGCTCTGCCAGGGCCTGAGGGCACAGGAGGGGCTCAGCACTGGCCTGGGGAGCAGCAGGGGGAGGGGAGGGCAGTTCCCCCTGACTGCTGCTGCACAGGAGAGGGACGTGGGGATGGTTCTGTGTGCTCTCTGGATGAGCCATGGCCAGAACACTCAGAGGGTGATTGCCCAACAGAGGCTGGTGCCTCGGGCACACTCACCAGGGCGTGGGCAGCCCTGCCCCAGGCTCCAGGCTCAGCAGCCTTGGTGAGTGCCCACGTTTGCCTCCTGCTGACCCCACGGGCAGAGACCTCTCCTCCCTCTGCCCAGGGCACAGCCCCTCTCTCAGCCATTCAGGCTGCATCCCAGGCTGGAGCTGGGCCTTGCTGTTCTCCAGAGATCACTGCAGGGGCCCCAGCAAGCCTGCAATAAACTTTAAGGTGTGTGGGACCATGACCCAGCTGGGGCAGGGCTGAGGGTTGAACAAGAGGTGCAGCCTCTGACTTGGGCTCAGTTCCTCCTGCAGGAAGAACAAAGCTGAGCAAGAAGTTCCAGGGAAGGATCCAGAGCAACGTGTGTCACCTTGTGCTGCAGGCCAGGCAGGAGGACTTCCACATGGGAAAGGTGCTCTTCCCTTCCCCTGTTAAATTAGGAGTGTTGTGGAAATAAAAGACATCAAGGCTGGAGTTCACTACCCACCCTGGGCTCCTCCTTTGGCCGACAAGTTCCTGGATTTTTAGGGGCTCAGCAAAGGGGCTGCTGAAGTCTTCGTGCCTCCTGCTGCGCCCCGTGTCACAGTGGCCCTGTGTCCAAAAAACCCTGGTTTAAAAGCCATCCTGACCCCGTGGGCCTTGCTGTCCCACTGCCTCTGGAGCAGCCAGCTGCACCACTGGAGGAGCTGCAGCTCCTGGGAGAGGTCTGGGGCAGTGCAGGAGCACTTGGAAACAGCTTTTGCCTTCTTTTTTTTTTGCCTTTTTTTTTTTTTTTTGCCTTTTTAAAAATCCAAATGAAATCGAAACAACCCCCCCCCCAAGCCCAAGCCCAGTTCTTAGCTGGAACCAGGCCTCTGCTGCTCCTCTGCTGCCTCCTCCTGGGCTGAGGCCAAATCCACCCGCTGCTCGTCCATGCGTTTGGCCTGGACACGCTGGATGAGGCTGAAAAAGTCTTCATCTGGCATGGTGGGGCCACGGGGGATGGAGTCTGGAGGGGCACAGCGCTGGTCGTCTATCCTGGAGGACTGCACGGGGGGGAGAACAGGCTTCAGGGGACTGCTCAGAGTCCAGTACCACAGGATCACAGAATTTTAGGGGTTGGAAGGG